AAATATCTTCCAAAACACTGCTTTTCAATCCCATTTTTCTTTCACAAAAAACCCATTTTTCTTTCACAAAAAAATAGCAGAACATTTTGCCACCTTACAGTTGTTATTAAGCCGCCACCACTTTTTGTGTCAGCATGCAACGCCGTAATTTTTTGTAGACTTAGATCTTTGCCGACCACGACATACAAAAAGTAAATAAATTAATTTTTTAAATCCTGATCTTTATTATATTATAAATAAATACATTTCCTAAAGAAAATGAACAAAATGAAGAAGCCCAAATCTCTAAGGCCACCTATGCCAATTGTAACTCCTACCGTCAAATCTAATAACAGCGATACTGATTCACAATTTGAGTTGGAACTTTGCTGGTGTGTTCATCAGCTGGAGAATGCTTTAAATTCGGGAAAGTTATCACAAAAAGTGGGTAAGTAGGGAAATTAGAAATGTTTCTATACATTATGAGTATTAGTTTAATGTCTCCAAACTTTCGTCTTAACAGCTGAAGATACTATTAAGAATTTAAAAGTTCTTAAAGGTAATAGTGCTCCTTTGATTAAAAAGCGGCAGGTTATGAAAGCTGCCATGGGCGATTACCGGGCCAAGATGAAAGAGGAGGAAAAGAAAATGAGTTTAGGTAAGTGCAATAGGAAAGACAAAAAAATAAAAACAGTTTTGTCTATCTGAAAAACATCGACAAGAAAGACCATGTGGATGTTAACTGCAAAAACTTAAATGATCATAGTTTGGGCGATCCACCAGCTATTTGGGATAAAGCTTTCATATATTCAAAAGAACAGGACGAAGATAATAAGATATTTTCCAATAAAATAACAAAATTAGTATTTTAAATTCTTCGGATCTTCCAATTATTGTTTATGAAAATAAATCTAACTTAATATTTACTACTTCTTTTCAGCTCCTAAACAAATCAAATTTACAAATTCTACTGAAGTAAATAAAAAATCTAGTTTTGTAAAAAAATCCGCCATCTTAACATCGGGTAAAGATTTTAAATTTAATTTTAATCCCAGCAACGCTGTAGAAAATCAAACACAAGAATCGGAACAACAACCTAAGGAAACAACAGATGCTAGTAACTTTAAAGCAACCAATTTACAGTTGACTTCTGGCAGTGGGTTTAAGTTTAATTTTGCAATAGATGAAGTTAATAATGAAATTAAATTTGATGAATTATCTATCAAATAAAACTGCAAAAACTTAAGTTTTTTTTTTAAATATTATTATAAAAAGAGTACTTTTTATTATAAAAAGAGTATTTTATTATTGTTTTTTATTAGTTTATTATTATAATATATTTAGAGAGCTACAGAATTATTAAATTATATACATTTTATAAAACACATTTATAACTTCTCACTCTTAAGCCGAAAGAAACATATCAGTGATATGATATCACAAATCTTAAAATTAAAAAAAAAAAAACGTTTAGTGTTGAACTTAAGCTTTGCTTTTAATTTTAAAACATTAGCTGGTTTAAATGCTAATATTACCATTTTCATGCAGTAATGTTTCTAAATTTATTTTGTAACTTGTTTCCAAATTTTAATGGTTTATTTAATATCAGACCTTTCCGCTTAACCTGCTAATTATAGATTAATTGACTAACAGGCCTTTTAAACCTTATCTAAAGATAATATAAACTTTAACTAAAGAACTAAATATATACTTTAAATCTTAATAATTTTTCATTTAAAATTAAAAGTATCCCTTAAACTACATGCTATAAACTCCCAGTTTTGTGGGCGACACGGCCTTAACATTATTATAAAGTATTTCCAATTGTTTTTTATACTCAAATGGAAACTTTTCAAACAAATGACTAATGTAACGATTCACCTGCCAATCCAGCAGTTCAGCATCGAATTGTTTACTTTCCAATTGCATTTGCAAATCAGAATAAAAATCACAAAATAATACCGGCTCTTGATTTTCCGTAGACTTGCGTGTGCTGCAATATTGAAAACGTTTCAAAAGATCGGCTTTCAATTGAGGATCATTGTCGGTAAAGCGTGAAGCCAAAGGTGTCTAAGAATATAAAAGTTGAATCAAAATAAATAAACGTTATCCTTTAATATATTTTCATTTAAATTTACCTGCTGTTGTATAATCTTATTCTGGTATTGTGAAATCTCCTGCCTTAATTTACTGACCTCTTTGATTTCTCTTAGCATGTATTTAACAAAACCGAATAATTTAGTAGCATCTGTATCCAATGGCTCCAAACATTCAATGTATTGACGCATTTTTAAAGAATTATTAAACATGGACACATCCAGTTTTTCGGCCATGTGAAAATTTTCTCTGGCCCTTTTAAAGTCATGCTTTAAAGCCAGTAGTGTAGCTAAAGCTATGTAATTTTCACCATGTTTCGGACCATATTTAATAGCCTCATTCAAAATTGTCTCTGCATCATCCCACAGCTTAGCCCTTACCAAAATTGTGCCTAAACTAAGTAGCGGAATATCTTTACTCTCTTCAGGAGCCAGCATTACCGAGAGACGAGCACAGTCTAGGGCATTTTTGGCATGACCCGTTAAACGCCAATAGTAGGAACCCAGCATATGGAATTTCCATGAAGTGGGATTATTAGCCAGACCTTTAACCGAAATCTCGTGTATGGTCTCGGTAACACTTTCGGCATCTTTCAAACCCACTTCTTGTTTTAATAGATTCTCTTCACGTTCTATACTCAACGTTTTTAAAGTATCTGCTTTGAAACTTTTCAAGTGAGCATATTTATCACGTGACGTCTGCAGTTCAGCATAATCCCGGCAAATGGGATCCACTCCCTTCGACTCCTTTCTTGTTTCCAGTTTTTCGGGAAATTTCAGCCTTTTCATGGACGCCCCCGTAGTACGCAAATAATCACTTAAACCCGTCATTTTCACATACATTCTCACACATTTGGAACGTTCCAATATGATCTGCAACAACTGGTCTGTTATGACAATATGATCATCTAATGTACTGCGTTTACGTTGCATTTTTCGAAACGCCTCTTCGGCACTTTCCGTGTAACGTATTTGTTCTATAAAACTATAAAGATTATCCGGCTGTCTTAAATGAAAGGGGGAGTCGAGGCGCCTTTTGATGATACCATCATCTTTTAGTGCATAATGATTTGTGGTACCCGCCTTTTGGCTTTGTGACAATACTAGGGTCAGCACTATAAAAAGCCACATTTTATTTTCGTTTACACTTACATTACTCGTTTTTGGAATAATTTTAATTTATTTTTTATTGATTACATTTACATCAGACTAAAAAACACATTTTGATGCACAACCACAGACAGAATTGTTTTCATTAATAAAAATAAAAGAAGAACAAAACAATCACTGATAAGAAATGTAGAGATGCCATAACTTTTGTTTTACTAAATATCATATTTTAAAAAGGAGAAAAAACTGATAAGAAATATAGAGATGCCACTCTTTCATGTTTTGTACAAAGCTCGATTTGAACGATTATTGATTCAACTATAGAAATTCAATGTATACGTAATGGACAATTTAAAATGAAAAGGATCTGTGTAAAAAATTAATTTACCTGTAAAAATATTACAGAATTTGTTCGAACATTCAAATATTAAAAACTTAATGGAAACACCTTGAAGAGGTTTACGCAAATCTAGTAGATTTCTAGTCAGTGGAAACATTTTAAAAACCGAATCCATAAAAAAGCAAACATAAATATATATTTATTTCAAGCGATTTCCCAACAAACACCTTTAGAGATTTTCATTACTCAACCCCTATGTTAACAACACTGTTTAGTTTGCAATTCCATTACCATCAAACTGACGTGACGGCAAAAATATTTTCGATAATAAAAAAAATTGCTTAAAATGTAAATTTTTGTGGAAATTAATAGACGAAAACCACGTATATCAAGTGAAAATAAGTGAACAAAAATTAACTTTGCTTATTTAAGAAATTTTCGTTAGATTTTAAACGAGTTTTGAGAACACGGTAAAAAAATCAAACAAAAAGAAAAATACTTTGATTGTGCTGCTGCTGCCGACCGACCGACTCCAAAAGAAAAAATATATATTATATACGAAAAAAGTGAGTGTGTTTTATGAAACGCAGCTAATATTTGGTATAAAAAAGAACAATAGTATTTTTATTATACTAATTATCATTATAACAAACATATTTTGTTATAAATGTATACTTTAAAACATGATTAATTTCGCATAATCTCTATGAAAATATCAAATATATATGTATTTTTTTGTAGCGGTATAAATAAGTAAAAAGAAAGAAAAAATAGTGTAAAAGGAAAATAGAAAAAATATAAGTTAGTAACCCGCTGCTGGCGTCACTGCATTTGCAAATTTTTGACAGCAATTGCAGCCGTTTTTAGATATTCTTTTGTATCTTAAGCAAAATCGCTAAATTAGTACTACTATTAGTTGCAACAAAACTGTTTTTTCTCATACCTTCATACTTGTTTAATTGTATGAAATTTCTGAAAACAACACAGTGCATTGACTTAGAAAAATATTTGGCTAAAATAAAGACGGTTACCAAAAAAAAAAAATCATGTCTGATATTAATTCTAACATAAAAAATATTTTCATTTTCGATATAAATTGTTTTTGTAATTTCAATAATTTGTATGAAAATATTTTCAACGCAAAGTTATAATAAGCTGGTAAGATAAGAGGGGCACTCGAAAAACGAGGTGCGTACGTTTGTGCTTTTTAATTCATTTACGAGCAGTATTAATTGGTGTCATTTCATCACAATCTTTAGCAATGTTATGCCAAATTTCATCTTCATTGTATTCTTAATTTGTCTAATAATGGAGAATTTGTAAAACTAACGAAAATGGATCTTCGAAATTTTGTAAAATATTTAATACCTATTTCCACTCTTAGAAAGTAAATTCCCCGAAATATATATATTTTTTATTATCTAACTTGAAAGGAATAGTTGACTATATTGATACAAGTCACTTTTTCATCCAAAATGTTTATTTTTTACGCCGTAGGAATTATTAATAAAATATTAAATTATAACAGCTACATGGGTTTTCAAAGTACCCAATTTTCTATTTTTAAAACTGCACCGTATTTGATCCCATATTTAAGAATTCAATCAATAGTCAATTCAAAATATAAAGAAATTTGAAAAAGTTGCAAATTTCGTTGAAAAATCGACAAAATGTGTAAAAAAAGAACTAAGAACTAATGAAATTGAATTTTAAGTTAATCAATCAACAAAATTGTAAGATATTTGTTGGTAATAAACTTGAACATTAATGTTATTACTTATATAAAACGATTTTTACAATGAACACGTAGCATATTTTTCGAGTGCACTCTTTATTTCTAATCTGAATTTAAACTAAGCTTTACTTATCAAATGTATGCAATTTTAACATTGACATTATTAAACGGTCCATATTTTGTAACACAAAGTTCAAAAAATACGAATTTTGAGTTTAACCATTCTTATAGTAAATGATCGATTTATGTAAAGGCTACCTTCTGAAAAAAAAAATAATTAAAGGCAATATCTAATTATAGAGGTTTTTAACTCTCAGTTGACATAATGAATATTGTCAATAAAGATATCTCTACTTTGTTATTTTACGTCTCAAATATATCGAAAAACTAGGTTTTTCAATCTTTAAGTCACAATATCTGGAAATATGACGCTATGAAGAAATTCTGAGGCTAGATTCGGATTCTGCGTGCTCAGCTCTTTGGAAAAGTATACATTGGCCTCTTTTTATCCATTCACCAGCTTTTATGTTTTGTTTGTTATAACAGCAAGTCTTTACCTGAACCTTCAAAACTACCAATAGATTCTCTGAGAGTTTTTGAGTTAGGACATTTTGAAGGACAGTCAACAAATTTTGCTACTCTTAGACCAACTTTTGCCACGGTTTTAAGTTCATTATCATACTGAAAATCGGATAAAAATTGCGTGTCTTTTGCTATAATCAACCCTATGATTCAATTGGTTGGCTACGAATGTTTCAGGAAGTAAAGCAGTCCAATTTTATTTCTGTTTTGACATCAAAAAAACATGACCCACAGCCACATTCATTTTTTCATAAGTTTTATTAAATTTTAGGTAGGATATTGTAAGAAATTATGCCATATTAATAAAAATCCGTTTTAATTAAAGACGGGTCCAAATTTTTCTTCTTAAATTCAGACAGAATATTCTAGATTAAAAGACGGGAAGAAAAAAATATATTATAACCACTTTAGCAAAGGCCCAATAAAGCATGGAGAGCAAAATGATGGGCTGTGATCTTGTTTCTTCGCGAATAGAGTTAGTCTAGATGTTAATATAAAAATACAATTAAATTTCTTGTAATAGCTCTCAATTTTTTTTTTAATTTCCCTACAAAAACTTTTAATTCAAATCCTTTAAAGAAGCTGTTAGGCGTTTTAAAATATAAGGTCGGAACTCGCTGTTTAAAAAACATAGCAGCTGGTGAATCCAAGTAGGAATCTTTACCAACTACACTAGTAACTAAAGCTCATAGATTGCATTATATTATTTGGAACTTAAAGGAAAAAAGATTTTCATACGAAGTGCAAATAGTAGTTGTTTCGAACAATACTGTATATATTAACAGCTAAAAGATGAAAATGTGTAAAATTGGTTGACAATTTTCAAAATTACCTAAGTAGAGAAAATTATTAAAAAGATTCATCGTTAGCCTCTTTAATTGAAATTTTGGTTTCCTATTTACACTGTTTGACACTGTTACAAACACACTGTGAATAGGTTTGTTTGATTCATGTTCAAATATGTTTCAAACCTCGTCTCAAATCCTACACGTTCGTTTGAACGTTTGTTGCTGTATAATTATTTCACAAAAAGCACAATGAAAATTGCGAAAACGTAAAAAAGAATTGAAAAAAAATTTTGACAGATAAAGAATATCAAGCATAAAAGAAAATCGCAAAAGTTCAAAAAGAACATAGAACGAACACATTTTCGCCAACATTGTGTGTGGAAGAAGGAAGAGATTTGTGCAGAAGTAGCACAATATTTTTATTAATTTCTATTAATTTTTCCACATTTAAAAGTTTAAGCATTAGAAAACTAATAATTAAATTGGCATTTAAAAAGTCAAATAAAAAATAATATATTTTCTTATTCTCTTCTATTTTTTTTGTGTGCTGAAAATTTGCTTGTGGTATTGTTGCTGTTGTTCTTCATTGACGTTTATATCAATAATTCTTGGTGGGTGCGTGCATATCCTCCTCTATACAACATCATCTTCATCATTATAATCATCGTTGTCGTTTTTCCAAAGGTCGTCCGTCACAAACAACAAAAGAAGAAAAGCAATCAAAACAACGAGGTAGAAAAACTAAACTAAAAAACGAGATTCACTCTACTCATACACAAGATACAACCAGAAGAAATACAAAAACGAAAATAATACAGAAAAAAATCAAGAAAAAATAATTGTGGAAGTTTTGCACCAAGAACTATACATAAGAAAATCTTCTTTGAGTATTGTAAGAAAATTGCATTCATTATTAATTTCTGTTACAAAGAATATAAAACGCAATTCCTTTTGGTCGAGTAACCAGCGAGAACGCATTGTGTCACAAGGGAAGCAGGCAGAAAAAGAAAATTAAACAAAAATAAAGCAAAAAAGAAGAAAAACAAAACGCCATTCAAGTGTGAGTAGCAAAGAAAATGGAAATTGAGCCAGATCAATCGATGGAAGCTATGGACATACAAGAAATCGATTCTTTACCCGGTGCTGAGTTACATCAACAACAGCATCTTCAGAAATTACATTTGCCACCCACGGCGGGCGGTCAACAACAATTGCCCAATGAGAATGGTAATGTACCACCCCAGCAGCTATTAGCCGACTCTGGTTCACCCTATACAAACGAGCAAGAAATGACAGCGCTCGACGACGGTCCCAAAGAGGACGAATTCCGTTCGGAAGCCACCTTCTCGTATACGGTGGAAAAAATTGCCCAACTCAAGACACAACAGCTATCGCCACCTGTGTATGTGCGCATGTTACCCTGGAAAATCATGGTCATACCCAATGAGCGGGCTCTAGGCTTCTTTCTACAGTGTAATGGTGAAAATGATTCACCCTCGTGGTCTTGCAATGCCATTGCCGATCTGCGTTTGAAGAGTCATAAGCCGGGTGCTAAACCCTTCTCACGTATGCGCATCAAACATCTGTTCTATGCCAAGGAGAATGACTACGGTTATTCGAATTTCATTACCTGGCAAGAACTGCAAGATCCTGAAAATTGTTACATCCACAATGGCGCCATTACTTTAGAAGTATTTGTTCACGCCGATGCTCCTCATGGTGTTCTCTGGGATTCTAAGAAACATACGGGCTATGTGGGTCTCAAGAATCAAGGCGCCACCTGTTACATGAATTCCCTCCTACAGACTCTATACTTCACCAATCAACTACGTAGAGCCGTCTACAAAATACCCACTGAGGCAGACGATAGCACCAAATCGGTAGGTCTTTCACTGCAGCGCGTTTTCCATGAACTACAATTCAGTGATAAACCAGTCGGCACCAAAAAACTAACAAAGTCTTTTGGTTGGGAAACACTCGATTCGTTTATGCAACACGATGTTCAAGAATTTCTACGTGTTCTACTCGATAAGTTGGAGTCGAAGATGAAGGGCACCAATTTAGAAGGTACCATTCCGGGTTTGTTCGAAGGCAAAATGTCTTCGTACATCAAGTGTAAGAATGTCGATTATAATAGTACTCGCTACGAAACATTCTACGATATACAATTGAATATTAAGGATAAAAAGGATATTTATGAATCATTTCAAGATTATATAACACCAGAAACATTGGAGGGAGATAATAAATATGATGCCGGCGTTCATGGTTTACAGGTGAGTGGTCAAGCGAGTCAGATATTATTGTGTTATTTTGTTGTGTGTAGTTATGTAATTGGTTAGTTTAGTTTTTCGGATTAAAGCGGAGTAACTCGTAATGGATAAAGAAATTGTTTACATTTAATACATTTCGAAGGCAGTTTCTTTCGATTCGTAATATCTTCATTCATTTGTCTATAAAACTGTACTTAGAGCAAAACTGATGAAATTGTAAAAAATAATAGTGGGACGTACTGGATAATTATTCTCGTACAACAAATTTATCTGCTGGTTTAGGTTTTTACACAAGAAGTATTTTAATTTTGTTTGATTTCTTCTTAAAATAAATGCATGACAATGTGAGCCCTACACTGTTTTAAAGGAGATTATATAGAGCTACCTCAGTAAGGGTGCTATTTAGCTCAATGGGCTCATTTCAAAGATCCCTTTTTCGTATAAAAGTTAGACTATATGTTATAGCTTTTAAAATTATGTATTTATAATTATTATTTATCTCTCCCATTAGGAAGCCAACAAGGGTGTACATTTCACTTCATTCCCGCCAGTTTTACACTTGCATTTAATGCGTTTTCAATACGATCCCGTTACCGATAGTTCGATTAAATATAACGATCGCTTTCAATTCTATGAACAAATCGATCTTGATCGTTTTCTCGAGAAAGAAGGCGATACTAAGGCAGAATACATATTACATGCTGTTTTAGTGCATTCGGGTGATAATCATGGAGGTCACTATGTTGTCTTTATTAATCCCAAATGTGATGGTAAATGGTATAAGTTTGATGATGTGGTATGCAGCTGTAGGAAAAATGAAGCAATCGAAATGAATTATGGTGGAATGGATGAGGAAGTATCGTTCCATGCTAAATGTAGCAATGCTTATATGTTGGTCTACATACGAAAGTCGGAAATTGAACGTGTACTCAGCGATATACCGGAACATGATATACCCAGTGAACTAGTCGAACGTTTGGATTTGGAGAAACGCATTGAGATGGCACGGCGCAAAGAACGCAGCGAGGCTAATTTGTATGTATCCATACATGTAATACTGGAGGAGTATTTTGAGGCCCAGCAAAAGCGACGTCTCTTTGACTTGGACAAGGTGCACCAGCGATTATTCAAAATGAAACAGACCCAGACTATTGAGGAAATGATGGATCAATTTGTTAGATCATTTTGTGTACCTAAGGAACGCATGCGTGTTTGGATAATGTACGTTACACAAACACAAAAGTTTCTTTATTTCGATTTCCAGCGAGAGGGTAATCGCTCGATTGAACAAATCGCTAGTTCACAGAAACCCTGGGTTATATTTTTGGAATTGGCTCCACCCGATAAGCCAAGTCGTGCACTGCCGACATTTGATCCCAAAAAAGAAGTTTTAATCTTTTTCAAGTATTATGATGCCCGCAACAAGCGACTCAACTATATAGGTTGTTCTCAGCAGCCATTGGGCAAGCGGCTAGTTGAACTAGTGCCCGATATTAACACACACTTGGGCTTTGAGCGCGACACCGAATTGACTGTATTTGATGAGTGTAACGATCAAAAGATCACCAATTTGAATGAATCGTTAGAGACCGTTTTGTGTTTACATCCCGACAACGCTGATCGCGGCAGTCTCCAGGGTTATATTTTGATTTTCGAAAAGGAACATATTGATCCGAAATTGGAATTACCCACGGTCATTGATTACTTAACGATTTGGTGTATCGAGTGGAAATAACATTCTGCGACAAAACCAATCCAAACGAACCGGAAATTGTGCTAGAGCTTTCGAATCGTTATACATACGATCAAATGGCACAAGCTGTGGCCGAGCGTTTAAATACAGATCCAAATAAATTGCAGTTCTTTACTTGTACCGGTAGCTACAAGGATCAACCAGGCACTGCGATTCAATATAACCAGAAAGTGAGTTTTGGAATTTGATGGTTATTTATATATCTATCTAGTGATCTATTCAGCTAGATATTGTTCTATTTATTAATTTATATATTTTGTTCTTTTTAGGGTTGTCTTAAAGATATGTTAGTGTCCACTAAGCAAAGCAATACCAAAAAGCTTTTCTATCAAAGACTGTCGCTCAGCATCCATGAACTTGACAATAAGAAACAATTCAAATGCATTTGGGTTTCAAATGACCTTAAGGAGGAAAAAGAATTGGTATTGTATCCCAATAAAAACGATACAGTTAAGGGTTTTTGGATGAAGCCGCCAAGAAGATACAATTCTCCGAGAACAGCTCAAAGAAGTTGCGTCTTTTGAAGGTGAATAATCACAAGATTTCTACGATTTTCAAAGAGGACATACCGCTTGAATCTCTGCAAAAGACCACTGAACCCATAACACCTCAGAGTACTCAAAAGACGTTCCGTATTGAAGAAGTGCCTCTTGAAGATATACAGCTGGCTGAAAATGAAATACTTATACCGGTTGCTCACTACAGCAAAGAAATCTTTAGTGTTTTCGGTGTGCCATTCCTAATTAAGGCGCGGCAAGGTGAACCCTACGGAGCCCTGAAGCAACGCATACAGAAACGCCTCAATGTGCCCGACAAGGAATGGGAA